AACAATTATTGCAGTTTAAGGGTTATAAGCTTTAAACATAGGAATTTGGATTAACAGTTTTTGCATTTTCATAGTGGGAAATACTAGAAAATTTTGTTGTGAACTATCTTAAGTTGGGGCTTATGGTATTCTGGTCCGGATCCTGAGAAATTAGATAATTGAATAATGTGTTTATTGAGATCTAAATCGTATCTTATTAGATAATTTAGTCACCCCTATTTGAATCCATTAAAAGAGGTGGAATAAATAGAAATGCAAACAAGTTACATTATATTATATTCAATTATACTAACTATTTTTTAGATTAGACAACTAATTGAGATATTGATTAAGAAATCAATGGATTAATTATTTTGACAAGTAGAATTAATAAATAATATTAAAAGTATAATTTTAAAAATTCCCAATACAATTTCATTAAAAGTACTTCTAAGCTACACCCTTTCATACGGTAAAAACATCATGATTTTTGGAAACCAAGTTGGAAAAACAATTCAATGACAAATTGAATGTTATCCCACAAGACTAGGATCAAAGTACGTATACGGCTCACACCTACACAAACGAATACATAACACAGTTCCACAAATTAGAATCCACAGTAAAGACAGCTTCAACACCGTTCACAATAAATTTTCAAGGATACGATGGTCGCTCTTTAATTGCTCCAGGGTTCATAAGCAAGTAGTCCATAATTACATTTATAAATGTGTTAACCCACAAAAGGGATTATCGATCGAATACAATTATATACATTATTATCCTTTGATTCTCACCTGAATTACATGATACAACATCTCAGGACCAGCCCCTTTTGGTCAATCCTGCCATCTTCGTTGCCTGAAAGTCATACACATGATTCAGCTTCCACATACAATTCTTAAGATTCGTAAGACAAATGCAAACCTTCTCCAACAACCGAGTACAAGTTGCAACAATCATATCACGGCAGCTTATAAGCTAGTCATCACAAGCTAAGAGATAGGAGTTTAATATTTTTTTATCTAGTTTATGTACATTTTCTTATTACGGCTTACTAAGCTGTTGCAACCTAAATGGGACTGGATTAAATGAAACCAATCATCAAATTTAGTAAATAATAACTGTTACTTTCCATTACAAGTAAATTTTATTAACCCGACTATTATAAATGCATGACCACATATATATACATACATAGAATTAAACATTCATAGATATGTAATCAAATTGCAACTGTTTACTTTATTTTAGAAAATATGCAAGTTAAAATAAATCGGGGGACGAAATATCAGATAATTTTTCAATCATATGAAATTTTGTAAACTTGATATACTCGAGATTTGACAATACAATAGTGTACATTTGAAATATACTTGTCAAAGATTCAAGTCTATAAATATCAAATCCAGGGAATACCCACACGGATGAAATACACTGTGTCAAGTAACAAAACAAGGTAAATCCAATTACTTATTGATATGAAACTACAAAAATCCAGCTAACTTTGTAAGCGATCTCTCCATACAACATAAAACACTAAATTTAATGAAAAAACACAGCAATGGATAAAACAAAGATGAATTATAGAAAGGCTATTTAGTAACAACAATCAAAAATAAGATTGACACACCTTCAGGTGGCTGAGCTAGCTTCCGATTTTGCGGAGACATCATTTCTTTCTTCAATTGCATCAAAATGTCTTCCATTGTACACTCTCTTTGCCAATTAGCAAGCATAGGAAACAGATGTGGCTCAACCTGGAAATTCAGATATAAGATCGAATCCAATCACACAACAAAAAGGAATCCTTAATAAAAATGATACCTACCACTCCAGTTTCGTGATTGACACAAGTCATGTTAATCCTAGTCTGAAATCTAACAGATGGTGGATTTTCAGGATAACCCTTGCCACAAAATAATTTCAGCTGGTAGATACGCCCTTCATGAACAGTCTGGTAAAAGAACAAGATGGCCAATTCATCAAAAATAATATTTTGTTTTGGCAGATACTATTTCTACATAGCAACAACAAGGCAGTACGCATAACCTCTTCATAGAATTAATTAATGATTAATTAAACAATATTAGTAGTTACTAATACAATTTAAACAGTGGCTAAGAGAAAGAAATATCTGAATTACATGGTGTACTATAAAAAAGGGCGACTCCAAAGGAACCATCGCCCATAAGGCCATAACCATTTAGTTACCAAAGCAATGTTCTAGGAAACCAAATCGCTGATACCAATACACTCCCCATTCTGATTAAAAAATAATCAGTTCCCAAATTAGACACAGACACCAAACTTAGCTAACACAACAATGATGAAGTGTATTTTCATAAAAATCGAAAGGCATAAATAGAGAGCCATACTGCCTTAGGCTAATAAATTTCTAGAAAAACAATAAGTTCAGCAATTTTGCCAAGAGGTTTTCACTGCATCAAGTGTACCAGAGTTGATCCAAAGAACAGAACAGCTTACACCAGGGGGGCCAATAATAGTCCCGGTCCATGACTGCATGTATATATCATCAGCATCATCCATTCCATAGCTAACAGTTCCATCCCCGATTCCCTTTTCACCTCTCTCAAGCTCTTCCAATAATCTGAAATTCCTAGGAACTGCATACATAAAACAGAAATTTTAACATAGGAGTAAAACTATAAATCTACATTCAAGAAAAAAGCAGTTGCAATCAAAGATGAGCACAATTCAATGATCAGTGATAAATTACATTTACAAGTTGGAAAAAGGGGATAGTGTGCAAATCAATTCACTAACATTATGTTGCAGTCCATAAATCTGGAGTATATGTTTGTCACTACTGAACATCTCAGTTCACACATCCACTATAATTCATAAAAGGAGAATGAGTGGATCCAAATACTGTCAAGTTTAGTAGCAAAGTTATTGAATTGTCGGCTTGATTTTAGCCCGAGAGATCAAGCTGGCATTATAGTATACCACAAGTGAACAAGCTTGCCTGATTTCAGTTCAAAAACAAGTGAACTAATTTTAAATTATTAATAATATGTCCTTATTGTCGTGTGACCCATTCGGACAAAGTTCATATAATTACTCCTCGTCAATTATAAGGATCCAAACGGAAACACTTAAACCAATTAACCACAAAGGAAATATTTTTAGACACTAGATTCCCATGAAATTTCCTAGCAGACAACAAGATCCCTCCTATAATTTCCTGCTCCAGACCGTAGAACGTTTATCATAATCTCAATTTTGGCACCACCTCCCCAGAATCAGTGTATTTGCAAGGTTGCAATCATAGTAATAGTTTACGTGTAGAGAGAGGATTTTAATTAGAGAAATTAATAGATAATTACATCACCACTCCCCTCCACAGTTTTTCCTAATTTCACTTCCATTCTTTCAATCTTTGTATTTAAATTATTTTCTAACCTTATAACGTCAAGGAACGATGACAAAGTGAGTGGCATAGTAGAAGACAGGACAACAATGCAGCAAGATACAATTAAATATTCAGAGAATATGCTAGAGCATGGTACCCAAGTTTCCAAGCTAAGTTAACGGAACAGCAAAGAACTTTATGTACAATCTCAGCAAGCAACAACACTAAAAGAGGAAGTATTCTCTAATAAATAGAAACAAAGAAAACTCAACCCTTACAAAAATAAAGGCTTTTTATTTCTATTTTTTTAGCTTTTTCTGTTTGTTTATCATACTGCTAGTTTCTGGTTTATGTTAATGATATAGCACATACATATTCAACACGATCACAACTAAAGACACAGTATTTGTATCATCATTGGGCATACACAACAGCTGAACTCCTAGACCAACGAACCCCGTTTGGAAGTATATAAAAGAAATAGATGCAAACAGCGGTTGTAGATTATATTCAGAACAAGCAGAAAGTCGTCCGCAATTAGAGTAAAGAGAGAAACAACCTCCAAAAAAATGGGAAAAAAGAAAGGAAAGAAGAAGATAAAGAGATAACAGGAAATTGAGTACTGACCGACGACAGTAGATGGTTCGGAACCCATTGTTGAAGATGAATTCGAATTTGGAAGAGAAGAGGGTAGGGTTTTAGAATTGTGGGGATAGAGAAGAAAGTCACAAAGTTAGAGAGAGAGAGAGGGCGTGAATGTGATCCTGATTGAAGATGACTGAGACTCAAGTATAACAGCTGTAACAAAAAGTAGAAGTCCGTTACACCAACACCAACAACACGTACTACTCTATCTATAATTAATTAACTAATGCTAACAATTAATTTATTAATATAGTAATACTTAGTGCAGTAGAGTGTACCAAGCCTACCCTACACCTACGTTAATTGCCACTTCAAACTCCTTAAACTAATTGGGCTTATGCTACTTAATTAAGTTCCAACTTTTTGTTAACCAATACAATATTTATCGCATTAGAAATGTATAATTTTTGCATAGTTGTTTTTAAATAATTAGAATTATTTGACGCCTCAATTTTTATCTCTTATCCTTTTAGAATAGATATTATTAGCGTGACCTAATTAATTAATTAAAAAGATTTTTATTGCATGTTTATTAAGACAACTTCTGTGTGTTTTTACTCAATTCTCATTTTTAGTACAAATAAAAATAAGCTTTTCCTTTTACTTCCGACCTGTATTAAAAATACAAAATATAAAAATCATTAAATAACTATACTTTGGTTCAATTTTGAATGATAAACTACAAAATTAAATCAATATTTAAACCATACCACATTAGATAAACTTTAAGAATATCATTGACATTGTTTCAACCCCAGTTGGAAAAGGCTAACATGAATTGATTTAAGAGAACTTTAATCCATGTATCTATATATGTACGGAAAGTGAATAAGAAAAAGAAAGAAGCCGCAGACGTTTATATAAATTAAGCCCGATAGAAAAAGAACGAAGGACCATCAATTTTAAGTTTGAATTGAACACTTGGCAACTTGATATTTTTTTTATATATAAAAAAATGTAATTTCCTCAATTAACATCCTTAACTGAACATGAAATAAAATGTCATCAAAACTTGCACTCCCTCAGTATTGATGTTAAAATGATATCTGAACTACAAAGTTGAGTTGAGCCTTGAGCCTTAAGGGTATAACCGTTTACGAAGTTCCTCCACAAATTGTGTTCGAGGAGTCTTTATATCAATATTGGCCTCCAGATCTTTCAATTGCACCACACCTTCTTCTTTTACTTCCTGCTCATAAACAAGTACCATCCAAGGGATCCTTGATTCTTTTGCATATTCGAAGTGCTTCGTTCTTCTTTTATGGACCAAGAATTCTGCTTTCACCCCGGCATCCCACAGTTCTCCGGCTAGCTCTGCAGCAAGTGTTAAATCATTCCCCAATATGCTCACTAGAACTTCTGTCTTGGTTGGACGAGCCATCTAACACAAACCACAGAAAATTAAGACATACTACAAAATGGAAAAAAATAAAAAAATAAAAAAATCTACACAATAATGCCTAGACAATGCCACCGTTCAATCTTTCTTGGCCAGGAAAGTCGACGGTGGTGTTGCCTAATTTCTCAATAGACATTCATCAAGTCAAGTTCAACTAACTTGAATCACAAACGTCTCTAGTACGTAATGCAATCATGCAAACTGCATATTTGCATATATTTGGCTGTTTAGATTGATTCATTGTTAATAAATGATAAAGTTGATTTCTACAAAGTGAACTGGCTCGTACTCAAATAGTTTAGTTTTCTAGGCCTTTTATGATGACTCAACAGCTTAAAACCAAGTAAAACCCTAACTAAAATTACTGAACCTGGATTACCTGAATAAGAAAATATTTAATTGTTTAAACATAAGCATCTAAACAAGTTACTCATCACTTATCAAACATTTTGATCACCTGGTTCTGATCCTTTTGTTGTTGCTCCATTATGGCAAACACTCTCTCAATTCCCAGACTCACACCAACTGCCGGCACTGTTTTTGAACCAAACATCCCTATAAGGTTATCGTATCGCCCACCAGCAGCAATTGAACCAACCTGCTTAAAACACATTTCCATTGCCGAATAGAAGTTTAAAATCTCAACAAAACAATGTAAATGGAACACAGGCACTGAGTAATTGCACAAATATGACAACCATATATACCACAATAGTACACACTACAAACATGTTTCAGATGATAAGAACCTTGGGTAAAACACCATATATCCTTCTCCCATAAACTTAAGTGGTTTTGGGGCTCAGAATGAGAACCATAACACCGAACATCAGAAGTTAAAATAAATATGCCAGACAAAACAGAAAAAGAAAAGAAACCATTTACACAGACAGAAACATGTAGTGTGTTTCGATTTCAATTAGAAAATTATGTAGAGCTGAACAACAGCTAGATTTGGAAAAAAAAAAAAAGGTAACACATTGTAGCCAGCTGGAGTTTGAAGAGAATTTTGATTCTAAGTAGATCTGAAAAATAACATCAAACATGTTCAATAAGTGTTCAATGGAAACTGAAAATCGGTTTTGCTGTTCCAAGGAATCCAAGTACACCTGTAAAATTAAACTTCATAAAATATTTCCTCCAATTGTTTTCGCCATTGTGCCTTCTTTATTTTAAATGCGGTTGTATATTAAACTCGGACATCATGTTTCAGACAACCAGGTTCACTAGGTTTAACTAGCAAATAGCAATTCCAGGTAAGTGCCAGATCCATCTAAAAGAATAAGGAGCAGTGCTAATAATTATTGCTCGGTTCTTTTATTGTGTTATTAAGCACAATCATCTAATTAACTGCCCCCAGTCCCCCCAAAAACTTGAAACCTAGTCAGATGGGTTGAAACTTGAAACCACGTACAAACCAAAAAAAATATCAAACAGCAAAAAATCCAAATCATCCGGAACCTAGTCAGTTCTTGCTTGGATTCAACCAACACATCATCAAACCCAAAATCCTAAGTCAGCAGTCTTCACAGACCCCACATATAGCCAAGACAAGGAATTCAACATCCATTATCTTGCCTCCTATAGCTAATCACCCCTATGCTCTATTCCAGTCCTAACATCTCAGTGAACAATTTTCAACCTAAATTTCGTTATGAAAGTTGGGGGCATTTAATTGTACTTCTGTTTCCTGTATTTTAAAACAATGTGGTGGTTTAGTAATTAAAAAGTGAAAATAGGAAACGTAAAAAGGGAACAGAGAAACAAGTAAACACCCCCTAATTTCTCATCCTAACAAATCAAAAGCCACCAGCAGTCTGACATAAAACTTAGATTAACTTTGGGGGATCAAAATTAACATATTTCATATAAATAAACTCTTTCAAACTTAAACGCTATTTCATATTTTGCAATCTTTTTCTTATGTTTAACATAGAAAAGTTTTTTAAAAAAAAAAAAAAACTGTTTCACATTTTGTTTCATCTTGCGTTTCAATTGCGCATTTAAAATAAATGACTAATTAACATGTTTAGCCTGTCGCAGTTTGTAATGCGCAACACAGGGAACATCCACTATACCTAAACATCCATAATATGTTCTGCCCCTTAAAGGATGACAAAGACAAAATTTCCAGTATAATAATCCAGTTTTATACTGGAAAGAAGAAAAAAAGACATGAAAAATACCTGAGTGCCTCCTTTAAAAACAGCTTCAAATATAACTCCAGTATAATAATCCAGACCTCTGGCAAGACTCAAGTCAAAAACCACCTTATCAATCCGTTTTGATTTTTCAAGAGCTATAAATAAAATTTCCAGTTCCTTCAATGCTTCAGAAGCTCCTTCGTGTTTAGAGAAATCACTACCCTCTTGTATAAATTTAGATAATAATGCTAAAGGAGATCCTTTTTCCTTAACAAAAGTTTCAATTCTGTCAGCTGTCTCAGCAGTTAATCCTTTTTCTTCCACCTATAGCATCACAGTAAAAAAAGCACATTAACATAATAGACTAACCATGAAGTTAAATTACAAAATTAACTTCCAGATACTAATAGTTAATATGAAATGGTGTGAATTTTAACGCATTATACCTAAAAGTACGACAACAATAATGACAAATCTCAATGACCTAAGCCAGCGAATGGATGATACCTGTATACTTCTATAGATATATAAATCAAGAAACAAAATTCCTTTTTGGTTTTATGGGAAACTGCAAATTACAAACACAAACAACATATGCATGCATAGACACAAACAGCATATGTGCTTACCATTTCTTTTTTTATCTGTTGAAAAGACTGCTTGTCCAACTTGTCAATGCTTGAACATATTGTCCTAAACTTTTCCGGAGGAACACCGCATATTTGCATCATGCCATCCAGTAACTTTCTATGATTCAACTTTATCTGAGAAAAAGAGTCAAGAAAAAGGTAAAACATAAAAAACACTCATTCTGAGCCCGGTATTAAATATATTTTTAACCAATAAGTAGGAAAATAACTATGGATAATGTGACGGAACATGAAATAATAAATGATGGTTGATGCCAACTTAAATTTATGAACTCAATAGCCAGTACTACGATTTCACAGAAACAATACTTTTAAAGAATGAATATCATAGAAATCTACCTCATATTCCCCAATGTTCAGCTCATCAAGTAGTTCAGTCAAAATCCTAACGACCTCAAAATCTGGGCCCATTTTTTCAGGTGGAGTACCAGCAATATCAAAGTCACATTGATAAAATTCACGGTATCTTCCCTTAGATGGGTTATCCCTTCTGTAAACCTTAGCTATTTGGTATCTTTTGAAAGATGTCAGACCATTCATAGCCACAAACCTAGCAAATGGAACTGTCAAGTCGTACCTCAAAGAAAGAAGCTCCCCACCCTGTCAAAACAAGTTGATTATAAATTAGAAAGAAGTTGAAATAAAACTCTTTTGAATTTAGGAAGAAAGGGGCTACCACTCTGGCTTAGGATCCTAACAGTGGTACCTAAAAACAAGTCTGTATTCAGCACTGGAAATTGAACAAAGAAAAACTCTATACGGAAACATATACACTGCTCTAAGAATTTTGAACTCCGTCAGTTTATCCTCATAATATCATTGTCCAGAGATAAGCGAAGGCTTCGTCATAACTAGCAATAAACATATTTACCTGGTCAGCAAGATCATAAATCAACTTTGAATCTTCTCCGTATTTTCCCATGAGAGTTTCTCGCAATTCAAAAACAGGAGTATCTAAGGCAGTGGCGCCATGCCTCTCAAAAACTTCCTCTATTATTGAGAAAGCTTTCTTTCTAATCGTCATTTGTTCTTTAGCAAAATCACGAGTCCCCTGATAAATTGTATAGAGGAAATAAAGGTAAGATTACCAACAAATATATCCCACTCAGAAACATACATCCGTTAAACAAATCCATTATCTATAGACAACAAGCACAAACTACAGCCAAAAGAAGGAATATTAGTTCAGCAGTACAAGTTGTAAAAATACGGTTATGTATGATTCAAAGGAAGGTCTTGAGCAAAATGACTTAAAGTATGACCTGGACAATGAAGACTATCATTCTAATGTCTGTATCAGAGCGAACTATGGCTAACAAAAATCACTATAAAATTACAGATGCATTATCATCTAGATGTTTCCACTTCTTCTCATAAGCATATACATCCAATACCTGCCCCCACCTGGTCAACCCAGAGCATATTACTGTCATTTAAAAATTCTAATTGACTATTCTATTTGTAAAATGTCACTAGCAACAAAAGAACATCATGCACATGTATTCCATTGTTCTCTGTCCATCAGATACAATTAAGCCATTTCCTTTAAAATTGTCAATGAGTACACAATTTCAAATACATTTCAATTATTCAATACCAAAATTTCAGCAACTCAATTACAAGATTACTTGGCTTATATTCAATTAAATTTAACCAATAAAGTGCTCAGACATATATTTTTTCCCGGGCCATAACACAACGGAGTGAAAAACTTAAACAGACTACAACACACCCAATAAACACAAAGTTAATGAAATCAAACAGGCAGACAAACATAAGAGAAATTACCTTAGGAATCTTGGGCAATCTTCTGCTTTCATTGCTCTCCACAACATCCTTGACTTTCAATAAAAATTCGTTAAACTCGGGTTTGGTCAAATCCAAAAATGATAGAAAATCTGCCACCCAAGTCCCCAAAGCTAACTTTCCACGACTCTGTAACCTCTCCTTGAACAATGCCAAAATCGAGCTAGTCCCTTTCCCCAAAACAACTTTCTTCTTCTTCTTCTCTGCTTTCGAGTTCTCCTCTACTTTCGGATTCTCACCATTTTCCTTAGCACCTTTTATCACCTCATTCAATTCAGCAGCCTCTAGAACCGCAACCGCCGTCACAACTTCCCATGCCACAACTTTCCAAACCAACCCCAACAGCACAAAGACCTCGTGTGCAAACTTACCATACTCCTTTCCCAAAAACAAGTTAACAGCCTTGTTAAAACCACTGCTCAAACCATCCCCAACGGGGCATTCTTTCCAAAAAATTTCCCCAACACCCAATTTCAAATCACCACCACCAATACCCTCCAAATTACTCTTCGCCCGTCCCAAACTACACTCGCCAAGTTCACGCAATGCTGCCGCCAACGGCAGCAGAACGGTGCACACAGCTTCCTCACTCCCAATCGCGCTCTTAACCCCCGAATTCAACTCAACACGCATCCTCGAGTGCACGGACTTAGCATGCTCCCTCACACTCCCGTGAACCTTGGGAACCCTCGCGACGGATCGAACCTTCTCCTTACCAACCGACTTGGATCCGTTGAGCAGAACCCTCAAGTCCGCGGCAACGCCAACCTCCTCCTTCGAATTATGCCCATCGCCAGAATCCATCAAATTGAAGGCTGCCACGTCAGCCTTCAAGGCCTCGCAGGAGAACGCGGCTGCCACATCCGCCAACGCGGACAGCGCGGCGGAGTGATGGTCGAGAATGGCGGAAATCCCGAGCAGCGTGGAGCATGTGAGTTCATCTTCCGTGACGAGGTCAGCGTCATCGAATCGGAAAGTGCTAGGATTGGAATTGAGAGTTTCGGCGAGGACAAGGGGAGTCCGAGAGGGAGCGTTGGAAATGATGAGGCTGTTGAGAAGGACGAGAAGAAAGGCTCGGGATTCTTCTAGGGTTAGGAAATCCGGGACAGTGATGTTGTGATTAGACGAAGACGACGTCGTTGTCGCGGTGGTGGCCTTCTTGGAGAAGGAGGAGGATGAGAGTCTATCGAGTGCAGTTGAGTCGATCCGCACTTGCGAGAGAGCTGCGGCGACGGCGCAGACGGTGGAGGAGGAGAGAGAAGAAGCCTTGCCCCCAAGCGTGACAGAAGCTTCAGCCATGACTGTGTGAGTGTGTGAGGAGTGAGAAATGCGTGAAGCGAGGGTTTAAGTTGGGTTAAGTTCCGGTTGCAGGGTTTTCTTTTTTATCCTAACATTTTCTAATTCTTTCTCCCAACAGTTAAAACAATAAAAAAAGAAAGGTATAATACTTGCTCCAAGTTTTGGTTGGAAATATTCTAAATGGTTCCAATTTTTTTTATATTGTTTAATGTAATTTTAAAGAATGTAATTTGTGTTTAATTTGATCCTTTTTACAAATATCATTTAAATAGTTAACGGTCAGATATTCAGATGTGTAATTACAGAGTGAAATGTCATGTATTGACTTAGGTGGAGTTCTTTGTGGTATTGTGAGTTGGAAGGCAGGAAGAGGCCAAGCAGTGAGGGAGAAGAAGAAGGGAAGCGAACGGCTGAGGGGGTGAGGCTACCGAACAGTGGAGTTGATGGAGGTGTGTGCCGCGGCGAATTTCTGGTTCTTTGGTTTGCAGGTTTGGGGTTGGCGAAGATGATGGAGGTGTGTGTCACGACCGGCGCATTGAAGAAGGGAGAGTGGTAGTAGTAGCGGCGGCCATGGAGATTTCGCTGTTGGCTATGAATATTATACGAAACTCACGATTTAGGTTGGTGCTAAAGGAGGGAGACTCGTGATTTGCTTTAATGACGTCACGGATGGAGATGTGGTAGTTGCAAGTTCTCGCGATGAGTGACGTGATTGTTACGGTGACAACGGTCTAAAATGGGTTTTGTTGCACAGAAGTGGTGGCGGCCTAATGTTTTAGAAGCACAAGGAAGATGATGCGCGAAGATGGTGGTTTGGCAAGCTGCAAAGATGGTGATTCAACAATTAGGACTTAGGTGGTGAAGAAGATGATGAAGGTGCGAAGATGATGGTTGGCCATGACCATGGCGGCGGCGGTTAGGGTTAGGTGGTGACTAGGATTTCTGTGTAGGAGAAATTAGGATTTTTTGAGATAGGAGATGATGATGACGTGTCAGAGTCTAAACATCTGACCGGTAACCATTTACACGCTGTTTACAAAAAGGACTAAATTGAACATAAATAACGTTCTTTAGTACAATATTGAATAGCAAAAAAAAATTATGACCATTTAGAATATTTTCAACCAAAATTGGGACCAAATAGGTATTATACAAAAAGAAAAAAAAACGTTATAATTCTACCTCAAATAATTAATTTAGTTAGATGAATTTTTAAAACAATATTACAAATACAAATAATAAAGAGCACCCGTACGTAAATTTCGTAGTAGTCTATAATGCATCTTATCCAACATGTTTCAATATAAGTGAATATAAGTGAATCTAATCTTGTATGAAGGCAGTGTGTCTAAATCAATTTTGCATTTCAATTCAACACGTGGCATTCAATAAATCAACATTTTTTTAACTCCTAAATTCTTTTTCAAGTCGTGAAAAAGTTAAAATTCAAGAGATAATATGCAAGAATTAATAATGTGATTAATGTTTTTGAATTTTAAAATATCTTACTAATAAAGAAATTGACTTCGATAACACTTTTATGAGGTGTGTGTGATATAATAACCGAGTTATAGATAATTCACCACAATTAAGATAATTATCCAATTTTGTGTTTTATTTTTTTTTCTAACATCGTATTCAATGTAATTATTTATTTCTTCCTACCCAGTGGCTCTATTAGCAATTAAAGTATATCTAATCAAACTGTACACGTTATATTAAGTCTTAGAATGACTCAAATTAATATGATATTTGTTTGAAAACTTACTTGCATAGGTTATTTGATACATAAACTATATATGTAGAACTTAATATTATAACTAAGATCGCTTAAGAGCAAGGTTGACCTTTAGGTGTGAATAATTCAACCTGATCGTTTGATCCTATAAAACAAAAAATAGAAAATTGATGTCCTTATAAAAACAATTCCTCCTTGATGAAAATAAGGATAAAAACATTATAGTATTATTAGGAATTTAAGGTGAGTTAAAATCTTAA